GGCGCAGTCGGTGGGGTTCCCAAAATTCGGTATATCGCGCATCAATTTTCGTGTCTACGATTAATTGGGAATTCGACTTCGGTCCGACCCAAGAAAACAAGAACAGAAAAACCAGTTTGCAAAAGACCTGGGTGGAGGTCCAACACTGACAGCAGCCCACAGGCACCCTAGTTAAGAAAGCAAAGAACAATACTACTCCATTTCCAACAATTGATCAATAAGTAACTTTTGACTTTTTGGATAGGAAAAGCCTAGATTTTAGGAATTGTAATGAATGGGATTTCTTGTTTAAAACGTTTCAAAATCCAGCTAATATGGCACTAAATCATTTTCTTGTAAGAGCAGTAATCGTACAGGTAAGTAAACTTACAGGAAGAGTGTTAGTTAGAATAGGATCTCGTATTGAATTAAAATTATGGAATGGCCATAAAAGCTGCATTAAGATTTAGTTTTGGACACAAAACAGACGTACTTTGTCTAATTAAAGATTTTATTCTTTTAAATCCAATCTCTTTAATTCTGACGAAAATTAGTGGTAGTTCTCTTTCAGAAGCTGAAAAATTCGTTAGATTACTAACTTTTTTACCCAAGACAAGAATATTTCAACTAAATTTTAATAACTTCAGATCTAGTTTCCATACCACTCAACCATGGAGATTCAAAAGGATATAAAATCATTTGTATTCTCGAAATACCAATAGTTAAGATCCAAAGTTCCAATTATTATCATTTCTATTTTCTATATCCTTAGACGGAAGTTAGGTTATCGAAGTTATGAACCAATGCGAAATAATAATTGAAAATTTCGTGTTGAAGTGTTATCAAAGTTCAAAACCACAGTATAAGAATATATAATGCATGCATTTTGACTGAAACCCAGAAAAGAAAAAATGTAATAACAATCACACGCAGGCAGGACAATAAATCAAAATATAAGAACATACGTTAAGCAAAATTAGACATTCAAGTGAAAAACATTGAAATTAGTGACGCTAATGACTTAGTTCTCACTCCGATTGATTTGGAGAAAACCAAGAACATTTTTAATTTAATCAAAAACCAAAAACAAAAATTCAACAAAATAAATGCAACGCCAGTTCATTTTCATAGTCAGTTTTTGGACGATAATTCTGTATTGTGTAATAATATGTGCAACTTGCTATATTATTTATAGATACACTTTAATAAAACAAAACCAATCAACCCCAGTATATTGATTTTCATTTCTTAGAATTATTTGTGTTCTGTTTTATATTTTTTGAGTGAAAATATAAAGTTTCTTGAAAAAATTAACTTTGATTTAAATCGTGATTTTTTTCCAAAAAAGTCAGGTGATTTAAATCATAATTAAAATGATGATTGAAATCACTTGGAAAAAATCAAGCCAACCCTGTTCATCAACAACTTCCAACGATTTTTAACTTAACTTAACATAACTTTCGTAATGATCGCGTTCTGACTTTAATCATTTGCTGCATGATAATCTTGCATTATTATAAACTTAACACCTACACAATTAAATTAATACAAGAACAAATTTGCCTGCAAATAAGAAACTTTCGTTGAATTGTTTTTAATGCTATTGAATTATGTTCAATATTATTTAATTTAATTTTAACACTTCTACTTCTGATTGTCTACCAGCCTACCATATAATAATTCTGAATTCAAGTTGTAAATCTTAGCAAAACAAACATGAAAACCATTTGCTCATTTAAGAAAAATGCCGTTTTGTGGGCAACTTTCAAGACAAGCCACTTTTTTCAATCCAAATTTTCACGTGCAATAATCGATGAATACAACCTTTCAAGCCTGATCTCGAAAAAGATCCTTGCAGGAAGGTACTTTTTCCCGTGAAAAGCAGTACCGACCATAAAAGTAAATCAATTTGGTCAAGAGCAACGTCTCGAGGACATTGTCAATGGCGCTTAACCGTTGTGAAGCGAGTTTTACGAGTCGAACCCTTAGGCAAGGATTATTAATAATACTGTCTCAACCGATACCCGTTTATTGCTATAAGTAACTATTAGCATGTTATAACTACATTTTATGTAAGCGTGAAGGCCGACTTGAACCTGAGGTCGCTGGCTGTCCTCAAACAGGACTGATTAAATATGAACCAGGACAATTTGTAAAAATTAAAATAATATTTTTCCGTATCAATTTAAAAGTTTTTACCAATTGAAGACGCAATTTGAAATTGCTGTTTTACGTCACTTTAAAATAATTTAATTTAATAATATTCGGTCTACACTAACCTTTCTTTTTGACGATATTTTGAGGTCATGTCATTTTCATTCAAGTATTTTTGTGTACATTTTTATTTTAGAATTAAGGCAATACTTAAGTACCTCATGTGATAGGCATAAGAGTTCGGGCTAAGCACAAATTTGCGAGACATTAGAATAATTCTCAAACCTGAAACAAAAATGAATTATTTCACTGCAATGCTATTGCCGGGTGATACTGATGATCAATCACATTAAGATTACTCTCAATTCAAAATCAGATATTTGCTAAAAAACTAATTATAAAAATTGAAAGGAATCAGGGTTTCAAAGCTTTTTTTTCGGTGACAGAACTAAATAATTTCCCATAATTGCAAACAAAATAATGTAGTAAATCAAAATGTTATCTTTTTGAAACAAATTTACAAACTGAAAAGTTTTTTAAACTTGACGATGAGGTCTGGCTTATAAACACACACTCTTTCAATGTAAATATTATCTAGAGTTATGAGCAAGCAGTAGAAAATTATATTAGTTGTATAAAAAATCATGCTTAGTGCCCGTTGACTACAATGCCCGACTGTGACTGAAATAGTACGAGGTCCGTTTCCTTTCAATCGCATTAACATGTGAAAAGCCAACCTTGTTTGCTATTACTTTGCAATCTACAAAATGGACGACTGTCTATAATTTTTATAACTAAGTATTTCCTTGCCCTGAGAAAATTAGCAATCTAATGAAAACTAATTATTGATTTGAAAAGTGCTTAATCAGTGCTCCGGGAAAAAATTGCGATTAATCAGAAGTTTGAAAACTCGTTGGCTTGTCATACTGGGACCGTTTCGAATATTTTCTCCTAAAATACATATTTTTTGCATAACACTTGCATAACAGTTCAGAAGGTTTGATTTAATAACCTTTCAGTACACTACAGCTTATGAATTGAAATCGTTGTCCCTGGTATATATTGTAAAAATAATTTTTGAAATCCAGAAATATTGCTTTTCTTCATGACTCTTATGTACGTTCATTTGTGTTGGTATTACTAAAATCATTAAAATTTCGATCAAAAAACCATAAAAAATTAGGTCAGTTGGGGTGATTATTACAGCTCATCTGTTCTGTTATGTGATTCTTTTAGGCTTGTTAAGTAACTCAGTTGATTTTCAGGAGCTGCACAGTGTTGCCGAAATGGCTTGTTGCGCCAACCCAACGCAGCCGCACAGTAACTCATCGGTGCAGTTGCCCATTTTCTAAAACGTTGCTCCGAAAAAATGTGGTGACCTTTTTTGATAGGTGTTGAAATTCCGGCGCCGCGCATCGTAAAGCTTTAATTCGCCTTGAGCTAATTAAATGCTAAGCTGATAAAGTGCGGCACAGTGCGACGCGATGAGTTATAACAAAAAACTCAGAAATTAAAAATACTCTACAAGTTCAGGGTTGTGCGTTCAGTACCTAAACAAGGGTACAGTCTAAATGACGTCAAAATTTAGAACTTCTGATAGTTAAGAAAAATTTGCTTAGGATTTGAAAAAACTGTTGCCGGAAACATTTTGCATCGCGATTTTCGAAAATAAATTTCTCAGTAACGAAAAATACACTAAGAATTCAGAGTTCTGCGTTTGGTATAGAAAAGTGTGCTTTAAAATTCGAGAAGATTTCGAACTTCACTAATCGTTAAGAAAAAAATGTTTAGGACTTGAAATAACTGTTGCCGGAAACATTTTGCATCAAGTTTCTGAAAAAAAAATTTCTTAGAAATGAAAAATACTCTACAAGGTGCTCTAAATTTCGAGAAGATTTCGAACTTATTATCGCCGTTCATTATTATTGATTTGAAGGAACTAGTTGAATTGAGTTTTCCAAAAATGAATTTCTCAGAAATGAACAATCCTCTACAAGTTCAGAGTTGTGCCTTCAGTAAAGAATAGTGCGCTCTAAATGTGGTCAAAACTCCTGTAAACCTCCTAAAGTTCATTCAAATTGCATGAAATGCAAAATTTTGCAGGTTTCAAAAATATTGATTTGAAAATAATCGCTTTAAGCAATTGCAGACTCTTCAATAAAAAAAGTCTAACTTCCAAAATAAAGCCAGTAGAAACTTGAAAGATTGACATTCTCTAGAATACGTTTTTCTTTTCAATGAAATTTTAGCGTACCTAAATGTATGATATTCAAATATTGTGTGACTTTTTGTAACAAATCCACCAGAATTTACTCACGCACGTTGTTATAACTGAATCGAGTTAAAAATTATCTATCCAATTATATAAAAACGAACTCTGTGGCTCAAATGGATCTTGAGCAACGTCAAATAAGGTGGCGTCATATTCTGGTCGATTTCGCAATAAAAAAAAACAGGCAAAACTAAAACGGTTGACTTTTTTTTAACAAAAAGAAAATATAAAACTGGAACCCATATTTGCATATGTGAAACAGTTCTTTGGAGACAAGCTTCAGATGAGCTTGATCTAAAAATATACAAAGCCCCCCAAAATATTTCCAAAGTTTAAAATTTTCTTGTGAAGGAATAAAAGGTTTAATTGGAACCAAATCCACACTCAATCAGTAAGCTAATGCTAATTGTATTGAATACTGAAACCCAATTTCCATATCTAAAGCGGTTGTTTAGCGAAAAGCTTCAGATGAGCTTAATATAAAAATACAAAGCCGCCCGAAATATTCCCAAATTTTAAAAAGTAACTGCGAAAGATCCAATAGCTCAATCAATACCAAATCTATATGCTATATATATGTATATGCTAAGCTTACCGAGAGCTGCGTTGTGCCACCTGGAAAGAAAGAAGAAAATGTGTTTAGTACAGCAGAAAATCTATCCAAAGCCAAACTTAGTTGAAATCAGCAAATAAAACAGAGAGAAATGTAGAAATTTCATTAAACAGCAGTTGCATGTCGGACAACAAAACTCAGTTCAAGTTAAACGATTTGTAGATTAGAGGTCGTTCTTACCAGCCTTTTTCAAACTAGAGCCCTATCCCTCATTTTCTACACATAAATTCTCCAAAAGTTCAGTACACTTTCACAAACTACCATACTTGCCATAAGGACCAAAATGATTCTATATTTCCCATCCCATCTAAGAATGCGATTCGACCGACACAAATGATTATGGACGCATTTCGTCCACTATCGGTAGCAAACTGAACATTCGTACAATTTCGGAAAAAAAAGACACCGAACTACAGAATAAACATGGCTATTTAATCATTTAATTGTTCGGCCTTTCGATGATTCATTTTTTATTTGGCAGTTCGATTTCAGATTGTTTATTGTAGAGATTTTTGTAGAAAGTGCGTGTTCGCATTGCACGATTTCCAAAGGGAAATTTTACGTTCCAACTTAACGAAAGTCAACAACAACTGAACGAAAAAAGCTCCAATCGCTGATCTTTCACTAAATTAATTTTAAATTTAGAGCAAATGATATTTGTCTGAATTTCACTCAACTGCAGTGATTAATGCACAAGGCTAAAACTAAAATTAATAACCTAATTCACTTTGTTTTTCTAAAAATATTAACTAAACAAAAACAACCGCAATGAAATCACTTAAAAACGAAACTGTTGCTCAATTTCTGAGTGATGATAGAAACCAACAAAATTTAAAATCACTATAAATGTCCTTTCATAGTCTAATTTCAAGAATTATTCCGCGTCAAGCGCAAGTGGAAGTGCGGCGCAGTGAGGCGCGATGAGTTTTAACTCACCAACTCACAGAGCGGCATCAACCTCCAAAGCGGAACTCAAGACAGTGTTACCCAAGCCTAGGTGCTTTGGATCTCAAGTTCCTTCAAGGCCACATTATCCTTAATCGAAGCCGACAGCTGAAGTTTTAGTTATGTCTTTATGGCATAAAAAAGACAACTTCCAGAAAATGAAAAATGTAACCTACAGGTTGAATTCGTCGATATACTTTAGTGTACATAGACGATTTTTAGAAACAATGATTAAACTGTACAGTACACATTGCATTATTTCCCTGAACATTTTATTTTACAATTAATTGTAAAAATAGCTCGCAGTGAGACATTTTTAAGGGACTGTTTTTAATTGTTTAAAGAACAAGAGAGTCTGGAAAATAAAATAGCCGTTACTTATATGATAAAACTGCAAAAAAGACAGTAATGAATATTTTGGTTGCGAAGTTTTAAGAGGTGAAAAAAGATGCCAATGAAGATCTTGTAGAAAATTAAGAACATCGCGTAAAAGCTAATTAAAATTGTTTTACAACTCCAGCAAGTCTGCTGTTGGTTTGGAAGACATTTATTATAGTAATGATATTTTCAGTTGTTATATTTTCTTATCCTTATTGCCTGATGAGAAAGAGGAAAGTATATTAAAACCACAACTCCACACACGTACTTTCATCCATTCGGAGCTAATTTCGCGAATGGTCTGGGTGCGGTCTTAATTCTTCTAGTAAATTAACGTGACGAGTAACTAAGTCTTTTTGATAACTACTTTATGCACCACCTTTTTTTTATCAGATTCTAAGTGGACCAGGTACCTAAGTGTTACAGGTGTAAGGTACAATGGAACTTATTTTTTTTATCAATATACAAAGCCTGATGTATTTATTTGTAATGTTTACGAATTTCTTTGGCATTTTATGAAGAAATACGTGCATTCTGACCCGTTCATATTGATTTACTTTGATTAATTTATCAATCACATTTTAACTGTATGATATATTTTTGCGAACAATTTCGTGAAAGTTTACTGTGTTACTGGTTTGGAGTCAATTGGATACCCCTGATTTGGAAACGAACCAATTATTCAACCAGGTACAAATATATGGTTCTAGTAATCTATTTATGCAAACAAAAAAAATATTAGAAATGCAGAACCGGTATAGTGACCAATAAAGTTTTGTAAAAATGGTGCATATAATATCGAAGATTTTCATTGCTTTACAATGATGAAGTCCGAAGATATCATTTATTTTATCCAATAGAATTTATCACGTGAAAATTTGCGTCCAAATGCTTAGTTATACAGGGTTGCTCATTAGTGCGTCAAAGTGCGAAATCTCAGTAAATATGAAGTTTACAAGAAAATTCGTCCAACGAAAGTTTTTCACGTTTAAAAGGTCCACATTCTAAAATTACTTTCCAATATACAGGGTGCATCATAAACGTGTGGTAGTTACCAACTCTGGTTTTTTAAATGAAACCCCCCCTTTTTTTGTTATTTTCAGATTGGCCGTTCAATTTTAATTTATGTTTGTTTCAACCGTTTTACCTGACAAATTTACGATTTCCGAGTTATTCGTAAAAATGTGAAAGTTTTGACAGCTACTGGGTTCCACAGAAATCGATGCTGTACACT